ATGTCAAAAGCTAAAAGGGTCTTCTTAAACCATAAAACCCCAAAAATCATGCATGATCCTACGCAGACGCTACACACACACACACATGTCTGGTTTGCTATCCTTGTGGGGACTCTCCATAGGCGTAATGGTTTTTCTACTGTACAGACCGTATATTCTATTGCCCTACACCAACCCTACACCTAAACCTACCCCTCACAGGAAACTTTCTGCATTTTTAGATTTTCAAAAAACTTAATTCTGTGTGATTTATTAGCTTGTTTACCCGTGGGGACCTCAATTTAGGTCCCCACCGTGACACGAGTCCCCATGAGTCTGTGTGTATTCAGGTTTGTCCCCACCAGAATAGAAAAACAGGTACACACACACACACACACACACACACACACACACACATATAGGCCTATATATACGAAAAATTTAAAGTGACAATTCAAAGTAAATTAGAAGTTTTCAGGTAAAACACCTGAAAAAAAAATCAATACAGAATATATATTAGTTATTTTAGTTTCACTGAGATAACAGTTGTTATTAATATTTTGAAACCATTTTTATTTTTAATTTATTCTCTGTTTTCAGACAGTAAATTGTGTATTTGTCATTTTCGTTTTTTAAAATGTTTGTTTTCATGATTTTAATTTAATTTATTGAATTATATTTTTACTAACGGTTTAATTTGATTTATTTGAGTACATCAGGATAAACATGAAATGAAAAAAAAGCATGTTGCCTTGACAACTAGCTGAAATAAAGTTTACGTTTTTATAGCCTATTTTATTTTATTTTTATTTTTAGTTAACTATAATAACTCTCTCTGTCTCTCTTTATGTGTATGTTTAAACAGCCATTTTAACAATAAAAAAGCATGTTGCCTTGACAACTAGCTGAAATAAAGTTTACGTTTTTATAGCCTATTTTATTTTATTTTTATTTTTAGTTAACTATAATAACTCTCTCTGTCTCTCTTTATGTGTATGTTTAAACAGCCAATCCTTTTAACAATTTCACTGAGACTCATGTTTGGACAACCAATAAGAAACTGGATAATGGATCAATTATGTGGATGATGTGGTCGATGATCTTTGATGCATGGCATGATTGCACGTGTGCGTAACCATTTCTACACAGTGATATGCACCTGTAAGAGAGTCATTTTCATTTTACTGTGGTACCTTTCACCTAGACTGCAGCTGTATTATCTCATCGCATTAAAATTCACAGTATCACACAATCACATATCCTTTTATGTCATGTACTATACTAAAAGAAGAAAAATCCCTTATGCACTACAATACGGCCTCTAAGCTACCTGTAAGAGTGATCGTTTAAGATTTCTGCTCATCAGGCAAACACTGAGACTCCTGAAGACAAGACAGAAAGAACTTCTGATTGAATCAGCTGTGATTACAATGCCATGGTGTTGATGCTGCTTATCTTCGATGCTTTCCCATAACGAAACCACTGTCAGGAAGTGATCAGATTACTGAGTAGCCTAATAGCTCATGAAGCAGTTTAACCAACTAACTACTAAATATTCTGCACTTAAGGACGTTTTACACAAACATGTATTAGATTCCACAACTATACTGTGAATGTTCTGGAATGAGTTATATTATTTTGGTAAATTTAGGCCTATCTGATCAATGCCATGATACGCAGAACATCATGGATAATTAAAAACGGCTCTAAAAATTATCATTTTTTATATAAAAATTATAAATGATATTAAAATATAAAATTAATCATTATTAATTAAATAAATCCTCATATATATAATGAAATAATATTAAACATTAAATAATATATTGAAATATATTATGAAAATAAAGAACTAGAAATAATACAGAAATAATATGGATTGCTTGCCTGTATTATAAAAATAAAAAATAAAGACCTATGACCGGAATCTGTTGAAAGATAGTGCTTCATCACCACCTTTTGGCCCTAGTTGTGAATCACAGGATGCTGGTAAGCTTATTCAAACACCATTGATCTAAGGTAGCATTTCTCATTTAATAGCAATATTATATATATATATATATATATATATATATGCATTTTCTATTACTTTACGTACAATTTTGAAAAAAGGCTTTGAGAAAACATTTGGTCTTAGTTAAGTTTCAATGTTTGTTTTTTTTTCTTTGTCTGTTGGTTTTTTATTTCCACTGTTGCACCAGAGCTTCAGGTGTCACCTCGCCTATTATAAGCATAATACTTGCAATCATTAACCTCCTAATGATCATTTTGATAACCTTTAGGTAACCTCTTAAGAACATAACAACGTGTTTTCCTTCTAATTTTCATTATCAAACCAAGAGACCACTAAATCAAGTGAATTTCTACATATTATCTGGTACTGACATTATGAGGTTGTTAAGTGCACTATAAAGTGACCCCTAGTGACATGTCAATAAGCACTGCAATCCCTGAACTGTGTTTGTAATACTATAGCACATAAGAATGTTGTTGTAACGTTATATTCATATAAGTATTAAAATGAATAATATTCAAATGTAATGCTGTCATATTTATCGATGCCTTGCGGTAATTCATCTGAGTGGTTTATTGTCATACACAGTAAATTCATTAAATCCACCTGCACTGACCTGTTTTAGCCTGTAGATGGAGTCAATCTTCTTTTTCCGATTAACAATTTCAATAAAGTCTACTTACTGTATAACATTCAATATAAACTTAATTCAACTTATTGATCACTTGTACTGTATCAACCTATGCTTTGATATATGTGACAGTTTTATTAAAATGATTACAAAGATAACAAAGTTTTATATATAGATTTTGTGTCTACTAGTTTTTAGGTTTTGGAACTTAATTTTACCAGTTTTGTTATTTTCATCATATTTAGTAGTTTTTCTTTTTTTTTGGAAATGTTTTATTTATGATTTTTGTATTTTTTTTATTTTTGTTTTACAGAACATCCTCATCCCAACATTCAAACCCCGTACAGATGAGGGACAGAAAGAAAGAAAAAACTTACTGCCATCATACCTTTTCTTTGTGGAGGAAACATTTGTGCTGTAGTTTTTCATTTAAAAAATATGTCCATATATTTTTCATTACATTTTTTTTTTCATTAAGTTAAACTAAACAAAAATGAGAAGCTATAGCTGAAATAAAATGTTTAAGTTATTTTGTGTTTTATTTTATTTCAGTTAACATTTGTTAGTTTCTTTTTTTATGGCTTGCAAAATAAAAGTAAAAAAAGAACCACAGAACAACTTCTATATTATAATGAATATATTAATATAATGACTGTATTTTTGATAAAATAAATGGAGCCTTGGTGATCAAAAGAGCCAGCTATTGGGTTGTTTTGACCCAGCGGTTGGGTTGTTTTGAATGTGTGTGTGTGTGTGTGTGTGTGCGCGCACAATATATACTGTATAACTTATTCTAAGTTTTTGACCACTAGTTTTATTTATTTTGACCAGTTTTATTTATTTATACTAATACTGTTGTTGTTGTTGTCAGTGGAGAACGTCAAGCCAATTTAATTCACTAATAGCCTACAAATAATACTTACAAAAATGTAATTCAAATAATATATCAGAAAACTCATTACAGATATTTAGGGGGGAAAATATGAAAATATTATCTTGTTCATTATATCAACTAAACAAAAATGTCAAGTATGAATGACAAGGATATTGGTCTGGCAAACATTCCCATTCCCTGTTCATACACTCTAAAAAATGCTGGGTTAAAAAGGGACAAACCCAGCTATTGGGTTGTTTTGACCCAGCGGTTGGGTTGTTTTGAC